TAAGAGTCTTATTTTCTTTTCTTTCTTTCTTTTTCTTTTCTTTTCTTTTTTTTTTTGGTCTTTTGGTACTGGGGATCGAACCCAGGACGTTGCACTTACTAGGCAAGCGCTTTGCCACTGAGTTACATCCCAGCCCATGAGATAAGAGTCTTACTATAGATGTTTCTGCCCAGGCTAGTTTTGAACCATGATCTTCAGATCTCAGCCTCTTGAGTAGCTAGGATTACTGGCATGAGCCACTCACTGGAGCCTGGCTTAACCAAATAATTTTTAAAAACTGCTGCCTAACTTATCCCCCTGCAGGCTACTTTAATTAGCAAAGCAGGTGACTTGGCACTGAGATTAAAACAAACAAAAAACCATTTCTCTAGGTGATTTAATGTGTAGCATTCCTGAAGATGACACCAGAGGCAGAATCATGTCTTTTTAGAAATCTTAGTCACTTTTCCTAGCCGGCTATTGTTTGGAATTGCTTGGGGAAATGAATCCTTAGAATATTTTTAAGCTTTCTTAGGTAGCTTCAAGTTCTCATCAAAGCCTTTGAACTGCTCTGTCCTTTGTCAGGAATCTGCTAGCTGGGAGCAATCTTTTGATCTAGGATGTGGTTTTCTTTTTTGTTAGTTCCCCTACCCACTTTCTTCCTTGGTGTCCTTTCTGAATTCCCTGGTATAGAGTTGGAATAGCCATCCTCTTCATACAGACTACTCCCCTTAAATAGATAAGGAACTGGGGGCTGGAAACCAAAGATATGTTTCTTTTGTGCCCCAGAGCCTTGCATTCTTGCTGGGGTTTTTCTATTCTTGTCTGGTGCTCTGCCATTTGAGTCACACCTCCACTTCCTGCTTTTTTGTTGTTTAATTGGAGATAAGCTACTCTGGGCTACTGCTGACTCAGACCCCAGTCCTCAGAGGTCAGCCTCCTGAATCCAGCAGAGGTATGTATAGTTACAGTCTCAGTCTCTTCTTGATCCTGGTTGGCCTTTATGTCACTTTATCCCTTGTGGGGATCTGGGAAAGTTATCACTTCATCCTTTAATTCTGGTACTATTGCCTTGTCTACAGCTTTTGGCTGTTGTCTCCTTTGAGCCTTTTTGTTACTTGATGATGCAGTTTATCTTGTATTGCAAGTGCTTATCCTTCTTGGAGCCCAAGGTTAATATGAATTGAAGGTTGCTGGAGAGATTGGCTCAGATCAAAAGACAGATTGGATTTGAAGGTGAATCGGAGCGCCCAGCTTTGTATTTTGCTTTTAGTGAACTTGTGGCCCAGCGAAAGCAACTGTTAAGCTACTACCGTATACAGTTTTATATGTCATATAACAAACACAGATACTGGAGGATGTCTCTAGTGGTAGAATACTAGATGATCAAGCAAGCTGAACAAGTGTGAAGTCAAACCTTGGTGCTGCTAAACAAATACCCAATCCCTCCTGCAAAAAACAAAAACAGAATTAACAACCAAAAAAAAAAAAAAAACAACAATAAAAGCCCCACCAAATTGTAAAACATAAATACATAAATTGCCCACTGTAGTTGTCCTTGTACAACATAATTTGTTGAGGGCAGTGCTAAACAGACTTGGTCCAGTGTTCATACTGGGAAGACCTTACTTTCATGAAGGCTTCTTTTCTGGGTCTGATGCTACTGTTAGACCTTTTATAGTCAGAGCAATAAAGGGGAACTTGATTTAATATTTGCAACTGAGATCTTTGGCCTATTGTATTGAGAATCAATAGGTTTAAACTAAGGTCTTTGTTTCCTGGGATTTATTATTTTGGAGTAATATCTTTTCCAGCTGTGCCTTCACCTTACCCTACTACTACTAGCAGTGTGTAAAAACTTTCTCCTCTTCCTTCCCCTCATCCTCGCTCAGGTCCTTTCACTCACTCTCTTCTGTTCTTGAGATGAAGGTCTCACTCCTTAGCCTAGGCAAGTCTCAAACTCATTATGCTTTAGCTTCCCAAGGTGCTGGTATTACAAGGTGTGCACCACATCAGCAGAAGTGTGTTTTCTTTCTGTCTGGTACTATCATTTATCCTTTAAGCCAAGTGTATGGTGGAGAGCGGTCTGCCATCCTTAAGCTTGTGCCTACTTGGCACAAGTGTCCTCTCATGAATGAGCATTCCTGTGTTTGAAGTCTGATTTTCCAACCTCCTCTTACCTTACAGTCTTCTTTTTTTTCTGACCAATGTCAGTATAGTCTTGGGGTTTGCTACTTTCATAAAGCTTGGGAAACCTGTGAGTTCTAATAGGAATTTCTCTAAAGGGAAGGACAAATCCTGAGTGGAGATAAAAATTCCAAACTTTTGGACTTTTAGCCCTTATCAAAGTTTAGGCAACGGAAGTCAGTTGGCATGTGCCAAATCTGAGGGCAGATTAAGCATTAATTTGGTTATCTTTAAGGTAAGAATAGTAATAATACTTTCTTCTTGGGGTTACTACAAATATTAACAGAAGTAATCTTTTTGTGAAATGTTCAGCCTCAGAATTAGGCACATAATAAGAACCCAGTAAGTTTCTGCTGCTGCTGTTTTGTTGTTGTTGTTGTTGTTGTTTGCTTTTATTTTATTCTATTTTCTCCCTTTCCCAGGCTGGCTTAGAACCTCAATCTTTTAGTCCTCAGATCTCAGCCTGGTTCCTCAGTAGTTAGGATTATAAGCATGAGCCATCAGTGCCAGGAAACTGTTGCTTTATTACTATGGTTAAGTCCTGGGGTTAAATCTTGTGCCTCTTGCTATCCAATTGCTATGGTGTTGGGCAAGTGAGTTAACTTGCATTTCCCTCAGTTTCTCCCCTGTTCCAGTAGTATGGATAGTGTAAGGATAAAGTAAGTTAATTCATATTGTTAGGATCCATCTGGTCACCCCAGGGACCAAGCCGAAGCAGGCATGCACAGGAGAAAGATTATTATAAGGTTTATTAGAGGGGCCATATCTTCTCTGGAGAGGGGGCAATATGGTGCCTGCTCCTATCTAGGTGGATAGCTCTGGGGCTAGAAGCCATGGGGTCTGGGGCCAGGTCCATGCCCAGGTAGGTCTAAGCAGAGAGGGGGAGTGACCAGCTATATGATGGGAACTCTAGGGCAGGGAGGAGCTCAGTTGTGGGTAGAGTGAGGACTGGAGGTAGGGATAATGCTAACACATATAAGATGACTGCTCTCAAGGATTTATTCTGTGAATGGTAAATAAAGAAATATATAGGGATAGAAGACAATTTGAAAATGAGTTAATTTGTAATTTTTGTTTTTGGTAGGTCATGGGGCTTGAACTTAGGCCAGGGTGCTGTCCATGAGCTTCTTTGTACTCAAGGCTAGTACTCTACCATGTACCACTTCCAGTTTTCTTGTTGTTTTTTTGGAGATAAGAGTCTCACAGACTTTCTGGCTTGGGGTTAGCTTTGAATGGTTATCCTCAGATCTCAGCCTTCTGAATAGCTAGGATTACAGGCATGCAACACGAGCACCCAGCTAATTTGTAATTTTTAATATAGTTATCACTTGTCATTCTCTTTTCTTTTTTCTTTTTGCCAGTCCTGGGGCTTGAACTGAGGGCTTGGGCACTGTCCTTGAGCTTCTTTGGCTCAAGGCTAGCACTCTACCACTTCAGCCACAATACCATTCCGGCCTTTTCTGTTTATGTGGTACTGAGGAATTGAACTCAGGCCTTCATCCATGCTAGGCAAGCATTCTACCACTAAGCCACATTCCCAGCCTGGTCATTCTTATAATGAGCTTTGGCAGGATAGATATACTTCCACAAGAAAAGATGGGTGTTGATGGAGTTCCAGGATGTATCAGAGATTTGTCAAGGACTGTGGGTTGTTGGGTTGCATAGTGGGAATAGGATAGGTGAATTGACAGGGTAGAAAATTCCCCCTTTTCCTACGGTTACTTCATTCCTAGTAGTAATACTTTCTAGTGACTTTTTCAGATGTTGGCACACTAGGTCCAGTTGGTGTCTCACATATGTAATCTCAGTTACTAGGGCGATAAGGTTCTTGGCCATTCTAGAAAATTTTAGTTAGATCCTCTCCCAGTTTCAACAAACAAATTGTGTATGGGGCGATACCCCTGAAATTTTACTTAGCTAAGTGGGAGGCCTAGGTGGGACATGTGTGATGTGAGGCCAGCCCAGACAAAAAGTACAAGACCCTATCTGAGAAGTAACTAAAGCCAAAAAGTTGGGGGTCGCCAAGTGGTAGAACCTGCCTAGCAAGTGAAAGATGCTGAGTTCAAAAACCTAGTAATAGCAACAACAACCACAAAGTGTTGTCTCATGTTACTTACATTGTAGGAAACTTCTTTTGTTTTTTCTTTTTTTTTTGCTGGTGGTATTGAGGGCCTTGTGCTTTCAAGGTAGGTGCTCTACCATTGGAGCATATCCTCGTTAATTAGACAAGCCTTTTGATTTTCCAATATATTTTCCCTTTCTTTCTAACTTTTAGTTTTTGCCATTTTGTTCTTTAGGAATAGCTTGTAGATATTTAGGTTAATGACAGACTGAGATCTATAAATACTATATATCAACGGATTTATAAATGAGAAAGCATGATTGAGAGCTTTATGACCATAGTGGCAAATTTTTCAGGTATTTTTAATGAGTTCACATTTATTTGTAGTTTAAATTTTGAAAGGATATGTACATTAAAGTGAAAAATAGACTAGAAAGTTTATTTGTGGTTAAGAAGATTGTCAAGAAAGCTGAGGTAGGGCTGGGAAGGTGCTTCAGCGGTAGAGTGTTTGCCTTGCATGCATGAGGCCCTGAGTTCAATTCCTCAGCACCACATGAACAGAAAAAACATAAGTGGCGCTGTGGCTCAAGTGGTAGAATGCTAGCCTTGAGCTGAAGAGCTCAGGGACAGCGCCAGGCCTAGAATTCAAGCTCCATGACAAAAAAAAAAAAAAAAGAAGTAGTTCCAAATCAAAACTATAGGATATCTTATTTATTTATTTATTTTACTGATGTAAGTTAAGACTAATTTCCTTTTTTTCTTAACTTTACAGACAGTATATGAATGGAGACAGCCTTGCTGAAGATGGAGCAAAAACATTGTTAGAAGATTCTTTTCTTCCTCCTTTCAGAAATCTTGATTGGTGGTTTGCCTCCATCAAAGCTCTTTGCTTCATCAGAATGTTTTATACAATCTCAAGAAAAAATATGTCCCAGAAACTGAGTTTACTGTTGCTTGTATTTGGACTCATTTGGGGATTGATGTTACTACACTATACTTTTCAACAACCAAGACATCAAAGCAGTGTTAAGCTACGTGAACAAATACTAGATTTAAGCAAAAGATATGTTAAAGCTCTAGCAGAGGAAAATAAGAACACATTGGATGTGGAGAATGGTGCTTCCATGGCAGGATATGGTAAATAACTGTAGAATATTTTTACTCTTCTCTTTACTCCCATTTAAAGGAAATCAAACTCATGAATTGGTCTTTCCATGACTCTTTATTACAAATACTTACAGATGTATTGGAAAGCAGAAGTCTGATATCCATGTTCATCACCCAGATCTAATGGTTATGAACATTTTGTTTTATCTAATTTCTTTTTTTTGTTGTTCTGGTCCTGGAGCTTGAACTCAGGACCTGGGTGGTTTCCCTGACCTTCTTGTTCAAGGCTAGTGCTCTACCACTTGAGCCACAGCTCCACTTCCAGCTTTTTTGGTAATTTATTGGAGATGAGAGTCTCATAGATTTTCCTACTTGGGCTATAAGTTTGAACTGCAATCCTCAGATCACAGCCTCCTGAGTAGTTAGAATTGCAGGCATGAGCCACCAGTACCCAGCCTTATATATTTTTTTTTGATAGCTATAGAGGCATCAGCAAATTTATCAGATGGTAATAGGTGATTTTCCCTAGTACACCTAGATTAGGGGTTAGGCTACCTTTTTGTTTCACTATCAGCAAAAAGTAATGATAATACTTTTGGGGACAGACAATATAATGTGATATTCATAATATTATTCCTGCAGGTAAATTCTACTGAAACCCCTTAATTTTCCAAAGAAGTTAGGAGTTAGTGTCCTCTATCAATACTTTGGAAGGAATTTAAATCAGAACTACTGCTAGCATGCCTACTGCACTGACCAACCAGATTCCTGGTGTTTGCCTGGAACCCAGCGTGCTCCACTTGTACTTCAGTTTGTGGGGGTCCAGGTTTCTTGTTTCTCTATTTCAGTGAATCTCTTGCTTAGCTTTGCTATCTTATCTTTTTAATTTGTTTGCATAGTCTACACACTTTTTTTTTTTTTTTTTTACCAACTTCTGATTAATTCGGGACTTAACATTTGAGCTTAAACCCTGTTCTGTTGTATTAGAAAAGGGTGAATTCCCTTAGGAAAGAATATTCCTTTTGGAGACTATTAAGGTGCTTCTATGGCTGGGAATGTGGCTTAGTGGTAGAGTACTTGCCTAGCATGCATGAAGCCCTGAGTTCAATTCCTCAGTACCACATAAACAGAAAAAGCCGGAAGTGGTGCTGTGGCTGAAGTGGTAGAGTGCGAGCCTTGAGCAAAAGGAGCTCAGGGACCATGCACAGGCCCTGAGTTCAAGCCCCAGGACTAGCAAAAAAAAAAAGATGCTTCTATTTTTGGGAGCAGGACATGGTTTTTGAGGTAAGGCCTCACATTATAGTTCATGCTGTCCCAAACCTCTCCAACTCAGTATCCTTCTGTCTTGGCCTTCCAAATGCTTGGATTCCTGTATGTGATGCTATTGATACTGACTGATGTAATTAGACTCTGCCTATTTGTGGTATGAGTGCATTCTCTAGTATATTTTCCCAAATGACCTAATAAATGTTCACCTTCTTCCTTAAACCATAGAGGCATACATATTGAATATTGATTTCAGTGTTTGCTGTGGTTTATTCTGTTTTTTTTTCTTTGCCCTAGCTGATCTGAAAAGAACAATAGCTGTCCTTCTGGATGACATTTTGCAACGTTTGGTGAAGCTGGAGAACAAAGTTGACTATATTGTTGTGAATGGCTCAGCAACCAACACCACCAATGGAACTAGTGGGAATCTGGTACCAGTAACCACAAATAAAAGGATAAGTGTATCAGGAAGCATTAGATAGCAGTTGAAGATCACCTTATGCTGCTACATCCACTGTGGATTCTATCCCAGTGCAGGAGTTCATCATGTCAATTTCTGGCTACCATAGAGTAATACTTTACAGTAAAAGTGCTACTCATTTTTAGGGAGTTCACTGGATTTATGGGACTAATTCTGTAAATAAAAGTTTAAACATTATTAGTTTGCTTTTGAGACAAATTTCTTTTAATGCTGTACTCTAAAGAGAGCTTGGTAACATGGTTGATGTAGTAAGCAGGTAGGTGATCTTCGTATAAATCTCTGTGTTTGAAATCAATCAAGTTGAGACAAAAATCATTTAAAAGACTTGTATTCATTTATATAAAATATTTATTTAAGTATAAATGTGCTTTTCAGACAAGTAGACAATTTTGTGATTGAATCTGTTATTTGTTCTGAGTGGATGTCACTGAGACTATTAGGAAATGTGCGTACTTACTTCCAATACTATATTTTGTTACTTAGATTATGAGCAGAGAAAGGAAGTAAAATACTGATTATATTATTTGGAAACCATGACCCAAAGAATGTCTTCATTTGCACTATCCTTCAAAATAACTGAAGGTTAATTGTATATTTTTAAAATTCATATTTGTAAGAGTGTAATCTTGAAAAGGTTAGCAGTCACTGTCTATAGCCTAGCCTAAATGTTAAAGGCAATTTCATAACATTAAAATAGTAATCTCTAATCTCATACTTAAAATTTTCTTACATATATTCTGAAGAATAAAAGCTATTTTTATGGTGATTCAAAATGAGTATTCATAATTTTTCATATCCATGAATGCTAATTTAAAAGTTTAATGCCAGTGCCTGTAGTCCCAACCGCTTGGGAGGCTGAGGCAGGGACATTGCAAATCTGAGGCCGACCTGAGCTACACTGGAAGACCCTAGTGAAAAAAGAAAGGTTTACTGGGTGCTGTTGGCTCATACCTGTAATCCGAGCTACTCAGGAGGCTGAAATCTGAGGATTGAGATTTGAAGCCATCCTGGGCAGAAAAGTCCATGAGACTTATCTCCAATTAACCACCAGAAAACTGGAAGTTGAGCTGAGACTCAAAGTGTGGTAGAGCACTAACCTTGAGCAAAAGAGTTCAGGGACAGTGCCCAGGCTCTGAGTTCAAAACCCACGACTGGCAAAAAAGAAAGAAAAGTTTTAACCCCTAGAGTGTTAAGCAGTTAGGAAAGCACATAACTTCTCTGTTTTGGTCAGTTTTGCTTTTGTTGTATTGGTAAAAGAGGAGAGGGACTCTTGAGAGCTTTGTGCTGCATAAAATTTCTTAGAAAATGTTAATATTAATTTATGTTATAAAAGAGTATCCTGCTTTATGAAACTTTGGATTAGATATTCATTTTATATAATAACCACCTAAAGTAATAAAGAACATTTAAAAAATAAATTATGAAACTTAACTATCTTTTCAGGAAAACAGCTACTGTAAACAGCACAAGAAATCTTAATCTTGGGTAATTATAGTATAGAACAAAGTGTACCTTTATTTAAATTTCCCTTATAGCAAATTTAATTGCTATGTGGTACCCTATATTTCATAGTATTTATTCTATGTAATAACTGCTTAAATGCAGCTAGCTTCTAGACTTAGATTATATTGAATTTAGTTTTAGATACTGTATTGTTCATTATTATGCTACCACAAGTAGTAGCAATAATTAGAATACTTTGTTAATATAAGTATAAAAATACTGTTTTGTGAAACATAGCTTTCCATACTGTCTTCTGTGTATGTTTATGTGAAGAAAGTAGTTATATTGCCAGGTGAAGTCTGGAATAATTGTTGTCTCTTACTAAATGTGGACATTTTTGGTTTTGTTTTCAGGGATGAAATAAAATATTATTTGTACTTAAAAATTGTTACATGCTTTTGTCTTGAATAGTGGTTATGTATTTAATAAATGGTAAGTGACTAAAAGGATCTTAATATAAATTTTTTTGAAAGAGGAGAAAAAAAATGGTGCCTCTTATTTTGAGTTCAGAAAACAATGGGAAGCTCAGTACAGAGAGATAGGAACAAGTCCAGGCTGCGATTAGAGGTGGGATCTAGGATTCTATCTCACATTAAAATTTACTGGTAATTTTTCAAAAATTTGTCATTGTATTTCTGTATCAGTTAATATTAATTAGATCTTAGCATAGAGGGCGGTCATAAAGGTATGAAAAACTTTAAATATATATATATATATATCAGAAGGTCTTTCAGTTTTGTTTTAAACACTAACTAAAATATAAACATTATTTTGGGTAGTTATTAGGAACTTGAGTCTGCTTAGTCTTTAAGGAGTAACATACCTTGACATTGGAGTTAGATGGGCTGTACCCAAGCATATTTTTAGTGACAGACAACCCTCCTTTTGCATTTACAGAATCTGCCTCAACTCATTCATTAACTTCTTGGGAGACTATCAGAACCTAGTGGTTAAAAGTCTAGTTCCATAGGACTGCTCTGACTTCAAATGCCAATCACAAGTTCCAGGCTTGAACAAATGGTTAAAAATTGGAGCTTCTAAGACATACTATTTGAATTAATTTGTTAGAGTGACTTATATGACTCAGAGAAATATGTTGTGTTTACCCACTTATTACAAAGGATATTTTGAAAGATGCAAATGAACAGCAGAATGGAAGAGATACAGACTAGATGGGTTCATGGGAAAAATAGGCTGTGTGCAGGTCTTTCCTACCCTCACTGACCACCACCCTCCAGGCTCCATGGGTTCAGAAGCCTGGAATCTTTCCAATGCTGTCCTGGGGATTTTAGAGAGCTTTATTAGATAGATATGATTGATTACAACACTGGTCATTGATGGTCAATTCCCACCTTAGTCTCCTCTACCTTCTTGGACTTCCAGCCCTCTTAGTTACCTAGTTGTTTCCCCTGACAACTATCCCCCAATCCTGAGGCTGACAAGGAGCACATAGTCACCAGTCATGTCATTACTATTCGAACAGACACCACTTTCTATGCCTAGGGTTTTAGGAGCTGTGTGCCAAGAAATGAGGACAAAAACTTCCCCTAAATTACCTAAGCAATGTACTGAGCAGAGTTTCCATCATTAAAGATATGTGTCACTCTTTTTCTTTTCTAATTATTATTACTCTCATCACAGTTGAACTTTTTTTTTTCAGTCCTGGGGCTGAACTCAGGGTCTGGGCGCTGTCCCTGAGCTTTGTTTGCTCAAGGCTAGCACTCTTCCACTTGAGCCACAGTGCCACTTCTTGTTGTTTTTTTGTTTGTTTTTTGTTTTTGTGGGTCATGGGGCCTTAACTTTGGGCCTGGCACTGTCCCTGAGCTCTTCAGCTCAAGGTGAGCATTCTACCACTTGGCCACAGCGCCACTTCCCATTTTCTGTTGGTTTATTGGAGATAAGAGTCTCATGGAATTTCCTGCCTGGGCTGCTTTGAACCATGATCCTCAGATCTCAGCCTCCTGAGTACATAGTATTACAAGTGTAAACCACTACTTTGCTAGTTTTCTTTATTTGTTTTTGTCAGTTGTGCTTAAACTCTGGGTCTGGGCATTGTCCCTGAGTCCTTTTTGCTCAAGGTAGCTAGCACTCTATCGCTTTGAGCCACAGCTCCACTTCCAGTTTTTTAGTGGTTAACTGGAGATAAATGTCATGCCTGGGCCGGCTTTGAACGTCAAATCTCAGCCTCCTGAGTAGCTAGGATTACAGGCATGAGCCACCAGCTCTTGGCTAACTTCCAGTTCTTTAAACAGATATGTAAATTCTGCAAGTTGAGCTTCACAGCAATTTACATGGTTTGTGTTATTTGAGGCATAGAACTGAAGAATAAGGGCACCTTACCTTACATGCTGATACTATATGAAGATCAGTTGTTTTGGATAAACCTAAATAAAGACTACCTATCAGTTAACACCTAAGTCATTTTGTCATTTAAAGTAGATCTTTCAGTAGAATTTAGACTACCCAGCAAAGGGAGGGCCGTTAACCTTGCAAAGTCAGAGCCACTTGTCACATAATCACTACAACCAAATCATTCAAATCAATCATTCTGGTCAGTGCTCGGCTGAAGATGAAGGGAATTCTACTGCATGTCTTATAAGCACTCTTCCTCTCTCACTGTGTCCTGTGGCATGATCTGTCTTACTAATTGCTGCATTAACCTTCTTGAGTTACCATATTTAACTTTCACCTGGAGAAGAATTGTCTTACCCTATTTGGATTCCCCTTTAGGCTATGGCCTTGATATTTGTGCAAATCAGCTGGGAGCCATGGTAGGGCTCACCAAATTTGGTTTCCTTTTCTCAGGTATCACTGTTGGGCTTTTGCTTTGTCCCATGACTGAAAGCTGTAGTTTTATATATGTTGTCTTGATTTTTATTTGTTTAAAGGGGAAGAGCATGTTAATTTTCTATCACTGCTATAAAACGAATTACCACAGGACTGGGAATGTGGCTTAGTGGTAGAGTGCTTGCCTAGCATGCATGAAGTCCTGGGTTTGATTCCTTAGTACCACATACACAGAAAAAGCTGGAAGTGGCTCTGTGGCTCAAGTGGTAGAGTGCTAGCCTTGAGCAAAAAGAAGTTCAGGTTCAGTGCCCAAGCCCTGAGTTCAAGCCTCAGTACTGGTGCGCACACACACACACACTCTAAGTATTCTGGCTGAAATCAAGATATTGGCAGGCTGAGGTCACATTTCCTTTCAGCTTCTAGAACTGCATTCCTTGCATTGCTTGGCTCATGACCCCTTTTCCCATATCTGAAGCCAACAGTATAGCATCTTGTTTCACTCTTTTTTTTTCTTGCCAGTCCTGGGGCTTGAACTCAGGGCCTGGACAATGTCCCTGAGCCTCTTTGTGCTTAAGGCTAGCCCTCTACCATTTGAACCACAGCACCACTTCTGACTTTTTCTGAATAGTTTAATAGAGATGAGTTACAAACTTTCTTGCCCAGGCTGGCTTTGAACCGCAATCCTCAGATCTCAGCTTCCTGAGTAGCTAAGATGACACTTATGAGCCACCAGCTCCTGGCTCACTCACCCTTCACATTGCCTTTTTCCATAGTGAAACCTTTGTCTGCCTTCCTCTTAACATTTAGTGTCTACTATATTATATAGATATAGATATATTCTCCCTGTCTCAGGATCATTAATATAGTCTGCATAGTCTTTTTGCCATATATGTCAATGTCCTCAGGCTCCAGGGACTTGGGGATTGAGTGTTGGAGAGGAAAGCCTACTATAGGGGCTAAGTCCAGTTTGTATTTGTCCATCATGGCTGAAAGTGGAAGTCCCCTTTTCAAATTCAATTGGCTTAAAAAATGAAAAAAAAAAAAAAAGGGGAGAGCTAGGAGTGGGAATTCTGATAATATGCTAACATGTATGGGGCACTGAGTTTAATGCCACACAAGAGGTAACTTTTTCTCATTCTTTGGGTTCTTTAGAAATAATAATAAATGTAGTTATTTAATGATCCCTATCTAAATTCTTTATGGCTGAATCCTATAGTTTGTGTGTTTCCTTATATTTATTCATTACAGGTTGTATTTTACTTTGTAATTTGGAGTTCTGATTTCATATAGATTGTGGCTTTTATTAAATAGAAATTCTGCCAATCCTAAGTTGAAATTGTATGATTTTGAATTTGTATTTGCTTTCTGCTAGGTTTCCTGAGAACATTGCTATTGGTGCAAAACTGTCTGACTTTTATTGTTTTTGTCTTGGGAATTACTAGACCAGGCAGTTACTATAAATTTAAGCTTTCCGCT